AAATCTATATAAACCCATCTCATATGCAATATTTAATAAAGTTTTACATAATGTAACGGCGCCAGGGTTCAAGTTATATTAATTTGTCATTATTTTAATCAAGTGTAAAGGAGCATGGTAAACATACTCTGTAACATAAAAAAATAAAAGAATTCCAGACGAAACATTGTAAGTCGCATGCATGAGTGCAGATGTAATGGCAGTCCAGACGGAAATCATTATACATTTTATTTACAAATGAATAAAACGAAGTGAATCATTGGTGTTCTATCGAACGTCAATAGTTAATTAGTTAAGATTATTCGGAAACGGAAATAGAACACATACCTTGTATCATAGAGGCACGTTAATATGCAATTTAAAATTAAGCCGACTTATAACACGCTCAGTTGGATTTGGTTCTACCTAAGTATTCAGTCATTGTTAACCCTTAATACGACCTGCCGATGGCAACATAATTAACCCATGCAACCAGTTCAGACTAAGATCAGCCACCCCATCCATGCCATCCGATCATCGTCTGCATTGTTCACAATTCAGCCAGTATATATTTTAAAATTTTCACTAAAAATGATGAGTTTTTTGTCCAGAATAAGATTGACATGTCAATTTAGAATATTTAGAATGGGGAAAAATAATTCATGGAAAGACATTAATTTTTTTGTGTTCTTCCACCAGTCGACAATAGGATCTTAACAATAGTGTTTCCCTACTGGAAACTCACCTAGTGACTTTAGCAGTGTTTCCTAACTGGAAACTCACCTGATGACTTTAGCAGTGTTTCCCAAATGGAAACTCACCTTGTGACTTTAGCAGTGTTTCCCAACTGGAAACTCACCTTGTGACTTTAGCAGTGTTTCCCAACTGGAAACTCACCTTGTGACTTTAGCAGTGTTTCCTAACTGGAAACTCACCTTGTGACTTTAACAGTGTTTCCCAACTGGAAACTCACCCTATGACTTTAGCAGTGTTTCCCAATTGGAAACTCACCTTGTGACTTTAGCAGTGTTTCCTAACTGGAAACTCACCTTATGACCTTAGCAGTGTTTCCCAACTGGAAACTCACCTTGTGACTTTAGCAGTGTTTCCTAACTGGAAACTCACCTTGTGACTTTAGCAGTGTTTCCTAACTGGAAACTCACCTTGTGACTTTAGCAGTGTTTCCTAACTGGAAACTCACCTTGTGACTTTAGCAGTGTTTCCCAATTGGAAACTCACCTTGTGACTTTAGCAGTGTTTCCCAACTGGAAACTCACCTTGTGACTTTAGCAGTGTTTCCTAACTGGAAACTTATCTTGTGACTTTAACAGTGTTTCCCAACTGGAAACTCACCTTATGACCTTAGCAGTGTTTCCCAACTGGAAACTCAATGTTAATTTGTGGTCACCTAACTGAAAACCTTAACAGTGTTGGTTTGACTAAAATCGCAACTTGAAAGACTTTAAGGCCTTACCACTGCTAGTTTGGCTTACAAATAAACAAAAAGAAAGAAAATGAAAAGTGTAAAACCACAACAGTGAACAAAACAAACAAAGATCAAGAACAGTTTTTGTAAAATAAGTTCAAAACAAGTATGGTGATACCCAAACCACAAGTATTCAATTAGTATATTTCTGATAAAATCACATTTTGATATATTCAAGCTAGGGGATAGTCTGAAAATACAAAAGAAACTTGTTTAATTGTTTAAGTTAAACTATTAAAGATAAACATGTGTTATTATTTGTTTGTATGCTTCTTTTATGTTTGTTTATGAAGTTGTTTTTATTTTCCTAATAAAAATCTTGTTAATTTGTAGATTGTATTTCGGAAGAAACATACTTCAGTTGGTCTGAACAAAAGCTTATATAATTTGTGCATTTTTATGTCAGATTTGTAAAAGAAAGATCTATGAAAATTCCTTACTGTTTGCAGTGAAGTACAATTAGCTAAGGATTTTAAGTGCAAGATGGTTGTTACTGTTTACATCTAGGGCTTGTCAACTGTACTTGGCTAGTCTTCATGTTATTATTGTTCTACTAATTATAAATATAAAAAAATTATCCAGTTCGCTATTCATTTTACATATCGCGACATTTAATTTTTGATAATCAAACACTCATACCAATCGGAATGTTCGGCTATTATAGCCGACGAAAAGGCTCGAGAAGTTGCAATTGCCCTTTCACAAAATCTGATTTCATTCCATAAGGGCGTTGGGCTTCGGTGCGGACGCCAACAAACACTAATTGAAGCAAATTGGGCCTTTAATAACATTTCTCAATTATATCTTTTAATGGCTTTTTAACTCTTAGCCAGCTGCCTCAACCCATGTGACCAGTGCTGACCAAGATCAGTCAACATTTCTGTGCCGTCTGATCGTGGTCTGCACTGTTTGCTATTCAGTTGGTACATATTTTTAGATTGTCCCTTATAATGATAAATGGTTTAGTCCGGATTGAAAGATTGACAAGTCCATTGAATGTATTTAGTTGTGTAAGAGTGAGATAAATCTCTGCTGAATGAGTTTTTTTTAACAAAATTAAAAGAAATGACAATATAGAAATAATTCTTTCTTTTTTTTTGTTTGTCATACATAGAGCAGTTCCTTAATATTTCAATTCTGGTTAGTTAACTAGGCTGTTTTTTTTCTTCTTTTTTTCTAGTTAAATATATTGGATTTTCTAAAGTTGAATTTAGTTTTATTTCATCATTAAACATGACACATGCTAATTTATAGTCCAATAAACCATGTGAGACAGAATGTTTATGAGAAATATTGCTCTAGAACATGGTAATATTATTGCAAAATATGAGAAATAATTTCATAAAATGTTGCAAAAATACAAAAATAAAAAATAGTAAATGCTCTTCAAGTTTTGAACAGTTTGAATTTTAGTGCCATTAGGGTTGTCTTATCGAATTGGGTGTGAAATGATTGCGGTAAGCGTAGGTTCGAACATACGGCTAGCTATTTGAGCGATGCATTTTGTATTTTGTTTATTGCAATACGAAGCAGTTTACGACACTCGGTAGAATTACATGTGGTATTATAAATGGGAGTAAAATGTCTGATAAGTGGCGTTAAAAACAATCAAATCTTCCGATTTTTATCTTAATAATGTGTGCAAAATAGTGCCGATTATTGTTCTCCGAGTTATAAAAGATCTCTGTACATCTGTTTCACAACATGGCTGTGATATCACATATTGGATTAACTTTATGTGACATACATGTGATAGATATCCCTATGACATTGAATTCATGACTATTTTATATGTGATATTACGTGTATGTGATATTTTCATATATTTCATATGTGATATTGCATGTGATATCCTATTGTGAAATGAAATTCAGGACTGTGACATGAAAAATGTGATAATCCTTTTGAAATGCTGTTATCTTTGACATACTTTAGATCAGTGATGTGACAATATGTTGTGACGTTAATTATAGAACAGGAATAAGATTGTACTGTGACATGATTATAATGAGGATGTTGATGTGACATGTAAATCATTCACTTAGTTAATTGGAACAGAGGTATATTTTGTTATATCATTGGAATGCATGTATAAAATTGAAATAGCTTAAAGAAGTTAAAGTACAGATAAGTTTTATGAATTTTAAAGGAAATTTATTCATACCATTTGGTTCTCAACAACTCATATTTTAGGGGAAAAATAGGCATAAATGAGGGTTTTTTGTAGTACATGTATTTTGATAAAAAAAATATTCACGAAATTGATTACTTTCCTTATTTTTTTGCAAGTTTTTTGTTATGATTTACTTAAATTATCTAAGCATCAAACTATGTTTAATATGCATATGAATGGGGATTATTATAGTTCTTGGGTATAATTCAAGAGGAACGACAACGTAAGAAGAAGCTTCATATAACGTTCAGTTGATAAAAAAACATGATATGTCATGAATGTGATTATGTATTTTGAATAATAGACATATTGCTGTTATCTGAATGGAAAAATATTTATCCTAAAATGAAATATAGTGTATTAAAGATGTGTTATAATCTGAAGATTTTTAATACATATATGAATGGATTTATCAGAGAAGATCAACTTATATATGTGTTGTAGCTGTAATGTTTGGGGTGACCTTTATCGTATAAAAGAACAAAACATTAAAACATATTTCTGCTCTCGGCTAAAAGTAATATAATCATTACCAATCAGATATGAAAAATATACTTGATGTATAGTTTTAATCACCTTTTTATATCGTAATTTGTTAGAGGTGGCTTTGTCGGTAATACAGTAAATACCGACGTTTGTCGCTCTTAGTTAATGAACCGTGTTTATCACCATTCATTGCTTTGGTCATGTACGCATCAGTTACTTAGGTAGTATAGAGACATTAAAATCTCAAAGACAAGAGACAGACAAGAGTTAACGCCCCCCGAGGCTGACATTTAAGGCTGTTTAGGTTAGAAGTACGGCACCTTTAGTCCACAATTGTCAGTTTCTCGTCGCACCTAAATTGATTTTGAAAAAGTCTACGTGTTTGTTTTTCGCCTTTTTGATATCTTTATTGTGACAATTAGGGAAAAAGCTGTTAATTTTGTTCTCTTTATACTCTGTGTTGGCTAAAAATGACCAGTTTTAATAGCACTAAATTTGTTTGTCATAGTTGTATTTAGCAAGAATGACTTTGCATTACAAATCAGAAAATAATTATTTTCACACCTGTTTTATATGTTGTTATTTGATCTCCCTAAATACATCAGACTTGAACCTGCAACAACCCTGCCCATCAGTGCATTTAAAATTGTTTTAAATCAGTTTTATATAAATAATCCCTTAATTGGATAGTTCCAAATTAAAGCAGGGCAAGCCCATTACTAAAACTCAGGGGGGAAAAAAACTGCAGTTCCAACGTTTGCCAAACATGTATTATTAACAGTTACATAACAATACATGTACACATTTTAATGACTTAATTATTTAAAGAATGTATAATTATGCCTCACAGTAATGTAAATATTGTCTGTATTTCAGGTACCGTGGCTCTAAGATTCCCGGTTCAGGTAATTTCCTGTCAAAGTCAGCACCTATAGCAGCTCAAGCTCAAGCCTATCTAGAACAAAATGTCCGGTCACGCGGCACACAGAAAAGACAGGTAACATAGTTTAACAATCGGTCCTGCAGTACAGTGTATAGAAATGCAACTGCTGGATGAATTATTAAACTGTAGGTATCACATAATATGAAATTATGCAGAAATCTATTGCCAGTTGTTTGAATTGCAGACCTTGGAACATTGACCTTTAACTGGAAATATATCAGTAGAAATATTATACCTTACGTGGTTTTTAATTCCGGATGCTGGCAGAGAAATTGGTTCAGAATTGTTCAGTACAACATTGACCTTATTTTTGAAGCCTATTTTTTTCCAATGTGGCGAAATACTAAATGAATATTGTAGTTTAAATATGATCTCAATTCATGTTAAAAAAAAATAGCGAATGTCAAGAAATAAGACCGCTTTATTTTAATCACAATATTTCATTTTAAACCATTCTACGTCATAATTAGCCAAAATTTAGAAATATTTGTCATCGTTGAAATGAGTAATTTAAACTTAAATGCAATGTATTGTTCTTCCACTTTGCTGGTCATTGAGACGTAATATTATGTAACATTAACGGTGGTAAAAATAGTAGTGCCGACAGAAAATAGCTCTTTCGTTGGCGTTTTTTGTTGCACTAACAAGTAAATTTTGACATCTTTGGTTTCGCTAAATGGGCTTTGATTAATGAGAACACTAATTTGATATTTCTCCTCTGGAAAATATAATGCAGACTTATGCAGGTCATTCTAGTGTAATAAGGTATTAATACGGTCTTATTGTTACCGAAAATGAACGAAAAATGCGCTCCAAGACCCTGCTAATTTGCGTTTTTTTGTTGCACGGTTCAGTTATTAATAAGATATTTTTTATGTAGACAAATTCTTCTCAAATTTGTTGTTTTACTTCTTTCATGTACATTACTAAAAATAGGTCTGTTTCATCGTGTCCTCAGAAAATTCCATTTGCATTCAATTTCCAAGTCATTTTTTGTACAAATAAAAAATATTGACTCTACAACACCATTATTCATTTCCTATTAGGTCATTTATTTCTACTCAATATTCCATTAAAAACTTCTTTGTGTTATCGCCTCAATTTTCTGTCCAGAAATTGTCCTTTGTTTTGTACTTTCCGACGAATGCTGGTGCCACGTTACACAGTGTTTAGTTTGGTTACTATAGGTTCTTAATGATAATAAGGACTCGCGACAGACTTGCCTTATGTAGTAATTCAGTGATGATCGACGCACATGCCCTTTGTCGTCTGCTGAGTGTGGAACAATTGAAGCCCATGTGACTTTGTCAGTTGTCCGGCCCATGTTGTCACTATCCTGTCCATTTAGATAAGCATCGGGGCTAATTTAGACTCTTGACAGTGCATCTAAGATAACAAAAGCAAGTATCAATTTCTGACCAAACATGGTATCAGATTTAAGTCGATAATTATCGTGAGCAAGCCTTTTATGCTCCAATGATTGGTCAATTTAATTATAATCGTGGAAATAATTTCTCCCAAAAGGTTATAATTGTTTTATTTTGATGTATTTCAAGTATGGAGTGCTCTATTTGAACTAAGTTGGTTAACAAATTGCTAAAGCAAATTAAGCTGATTTAAATATTTTAAGCACAAAACCTCAAAATCAAAATAAATTTGTTATGAAATTTAGCATTATTGAAAAATTAAACTTATTTTCAGCAAATTTGTGAATAAATTGTGTAAATCTGAAATAAATATTAAAGATGGGTAAAAAATGCAGTTTTAAATGATGAAAAATTAAATTATCGGGATGAAGATGAAGAATAATTTGTATAAATCTATAATCATTGGTCTAGACTATTTCTCAATAATTATAAGCAAAAATATCATTTTGACATCAGCTGGACACTTAAACCATTATTATATAAATTGCAAATAAGAATTTTTCTCGGGACAAGTTTGTTCACATCACAGATTAAGACTTAAGACCTGTTTGTTCAATAGAATTAAAGAATTTTGTGTTTACTTGCCGTAACCAACAAAAATTTGTCAAATATTTGTAAGCTATGAAAGTTGCACATTATAAGTGTTGGTCAATACAGATATTCGCGACCTTACTTTCAAGTTGCTAAGGTCATTCATAATCTGTAATGAAACCATCAATATTTTCAGATGATCCCTTCGATCTGACCGAATGGAGAGTAAAATGTCAAAGCAACTTGTGAAATTTATTGTGTACTTGGTACATTACTTTCTTCAATGAATTTATCAGCCAAAGTTTATTTTTAATCAAAAGAAAAGAATTATTAACGGAAAATGACAATATTGAAAAATGACACATACATTATATTTCAGTAGAGTGCATTTTCATCTTCGGAATTCGAAAAATCAAAACTTGTAAACAATTATTCTGTACCAAAGAATTCTTGATGATAAGTAGTAGGATTTTAGTACAAATTTAGTACAAATAAAATAACTGGAATTTAAAACAAGTACAATGTATTATGAAAGAATCATATTCCGCATTTTGCAAGTTCATCTGTGAGTATTGTGGACTGGTTGTCTAATCATGTATGTTGGTTAGACCACCCAGGGTTCAGTGTGTTACCAAGTTCCGTTAATCCATGCTGAAAGAATAGTTTGGTGTAAATAAATATAATCTTATTGTATAATTTTTCAGTATGCAAAATTGCTTACAAAACCTTTAAAATATTCATAAAAATGTACTTAAAACTGAATATTTTTGAGAACCCCCGTAATCTCCAACAGTCTGGAGGTCTAGGCATGATTATTTGAAATTTTCTAGAGTTTCTGTGGCCTATTGGTAAAGGTTGCTGACCTAGCAACTTTGTACTTGGTATTTAAAGTCGTTTTTGGGCCTAAAATTTTCTATCCTGTAAGAAGCTGTCAAAGATCCTGGTTGCTGGGGAGGGGGGGGGGGGGGGGGAATAATAAGAAAATGAGGAACCTGGGTCTAAGATTACAAAGAAATCCTCAAAGCTCAAACTCAGATCTCAGGTATTTAATTGGTCAGAAGTTGCCATAGAATGTTCATTGACCAATGAAAATCCTGAGATTTGAGACAGAACTCAGAATATAGTTTTATAATCTCAAGGCCTGGTGGTATTTATACAGGAATATTCCCTCAAAATGATGGTTTAATGATTTTTACAGTGATGGTGCCAACTAAAAACCAAAATAAAACAACTGAAAACCTTGAAGTTTTTGACTTGTCCCACTTTGAGTTTTGACAATGCTTATGATGACGATGATTGTTATTGAATTATTTTCAATATTCTTAGACTAAGAAGTCGGTTATTAATAGATTTTTATCAGATTGCAATTACGTGCAGACTCCGGCCTGGGTCTATACTATTAACATAGGCAGTACTCATAGTTCAGCTAGACTTAATTTATCATGACTTTTCCATCAATATACGATATATTTTCAATACATGATTATAGGACCTGTGCATGGTCATTAAACTTATTCCAATATGTGTCCAGTTAAAACAAAAAAACAACTGCCTAGAGTGTTGTATTTAATATAACGATGATTCTTATCATATGGTAATTGTGTGTTTTAATAAAACAATTAAATACAGAACTAGTATGTCATTTATACTGAAATAGATAGCAAAACTGATCATTATCAAGTATCTTGTTATAATATTAAACATATATTAATAAGGAATGGTATAGAAAAAAAAGGAAAATGAAAAAAAAAAGGGGAAAAAAAAGGAAATTTGAAAATCAATGAATAACAGTAAATGTTTGCATCCATTGTAGACTACAATTAAAAATTTTAATGATTCAACACATTCAACATTCATTTCTGACAGTTATAAAAGTTACTACAATATACCATACTTACATGAGTATACAGAAGTGTTTTTATTTTGGGTGGTAAGGCAATATTTGGACATAAATGGCCATAAATTGTGGGGTTTATTTAGTTCATAGGAAGTGTAATATTAGGAATTCTCATAAAATTGAGATAAATGCAAAAAAAATGAAGTTTTTATTAAAAAAACAAAACTAGGTGACCTGATGTTATGTTATTGTATAAAATGTAACATGTGAGTCAAACAAATAGTTCTGCTTACCACAAGACATGCATTAAGACATGCATTTTCTGTGTCCTTGTTATTGCATAAAATGTTGTTATGTCTTATAATGTTATTATAAACCTAAAAAAAACAACATTGTTTGCAACCAAAAATTGAAAATCTTTGTATAGATTAAGACAGTCACTAAATATTCAGAATATTTGAAGGTAATCGGTTTAAGATTGAATGTTTTATTTCTTTCAAACTAAAATGTTATTAATATTCTGTTTCTATAGAAATACAAGTTAAGCAGAAAATTTTAATGACAACTTTTCGTCCCAAACTAATACTACAGCAAGATAATGTTTAAGGAGGCATAATAGGCATGCGTTGGTTGTCTTGTGCCGCGTACCTGTCATTTAACTGATTATACCAAGCGACACACTTCACAAACCGTGCCACTCCACAGTCCGCTAAAAACATCTTTGAATATTGCCGCTAGACTCAATATCTGAATTATCATTGTTGATGTCTTGTCTATCGTACGAACGTTTCGCGTATGAAGTTTCGCGATATTCATTGACAATGTCTTCCCGTCAATGGGAGGGTCTTATAATGGTTTGTTAAACTTCAGTGTTGACAAAAAAGAAATACTTTGATAGTTTTGTATTGGTTTATATCGCACAGGTAAAACCGTATTAGTTTAATCGGAGAGATGTAGTGAACGTAAGGTTGATACAGGGTCAAATGTTTGCTTGTAAGGGTATTTCATTCTAATTGCGGCAAATTTTCGTCACAAATGGAAATTTAATGCTTTCAATAGATTGATTTTACGCGAGATGGATGCATACCAAAATTGAAATTTATCGTGATGAATTTATTTTTCCTTTTTACTAAAGCCCGTCTGCTTGTAACAATGTTTAGTTTCACTTTAACACAATACATGCATTAGAAGAGTGGATTTTGTAATGAAACGTTCTTGAGTGAAGGGATTTTAAATTTTTTATCGTGCTTGGAATTTAC